CTCAAGTTGCAGCAAGGGAAGTTTACGTTGGATATTAGGATAAACTCTCTCAGCAGGTGAGTAGTAAAACACTAGCACAGGTTATCCAGAGAGACTGTGGAATTTCCATCTTTAGAGGTTTTTAAGACCCAGTGAAACAAAACCTTGGGTGGGATGATCTAGTTGGGGATGGTCCTACTTTGAGTAGGGGGTTAGACTAGATGTGACCTCCTGAGGTCCCTTCTGACCCTCATTTTCTGTGATTCTAAGTCCTGCGATCTAATGGGATGGGGAGAGTGAAGTAGGCATTTTACAATGTCATGTTTGCCAAGGATGTGTGTGGGGAGGTTGCAGTGAGAAAGTGACAGGAAGCCAGGAGGCTTCTGGAGTCGGGGGAAATGCTGTTCAAAAGTGGGTGGTAGCAGCAGGGTCAGGCCAAGATAAAACTCAATTTCTCTTCTTTGGGGAGTTGGTTCTGGGAATATGAAAGAAGGAGAGGCTGTGATATGAGAGCAGTGACAGGGACACTGCCAGCCAGGGAGGTGCCGGGCTCGTCCGCCAAGGGTTGTCATTCTCTGTTGCCACTTTGAAAAGCCGTGGGGCAGGCAGGGGAGAATTCTTTTGCTTTTGATCCCTTTCAGGCACTGTGTTTGTGTAATAACAGAATTGTGATGCACTCAGAAAGGCAGGAACAGTGTGTTTAATTCAGAGGCATGTTGTGTCATGTGGCTTTGTTGTTCTTTTCAGGCAAAGCAAGCCCCGGAACCGCCCTTCCTTCCGACAGACACTGATGCACCTGGACATTGCCTCTGCTGATGTGCTGGGCACCCCTCAGGAGACCTACTTCAAATCCCAGGTAGCAAGAGAATGGCCCATTGGGTGCCAGATCCTGCAGGGCTCCATCCCAGCATGGAAAGGGATTGCATGGTCCTCTGGGGTAGGAAAGAATGAGGGGCAAAGACAGGAGGAAGGCCTAGCAAGGGGAAATGGAATAGCGGGTTCGGAAAATGATGCTGAGGTTTGTTTGCTGCTGCTGTGTTGTGTTTTGGACACAGAGTGTGCATGTGTAGGAACACCCCCATGCAGTTCTTTTAGACACTAGCCAGGTGTGTGAATAGTGTGTTAAAGAACAGGGTGGGACTTTAGTATTAGGGACAGGTCTGAATGAAGGGAAGAACTGTCACAGGACATCAAAAGGATGCTGGGCAGAACCAAGAAAAGACAGTATCTCCAGGTCCCTGACATTGTTGGTTGCTTCCATCATGTCAGGGTAGGATGAAGCCCAGGTCCTATATGGTGAGTGAACACACTAGGGGTGTTTCTAAAGATTTACACCCCTGAAGTGAAGCCACAAGAGCCAAGACTACATGAGGGCCAGGGTCAACACTACCCCAACAGAGCTACAAGTGCAAATGGTCTTTGAAGGTCTCATAAACATGGATGGTGAGGAAACACTTACTGACATGGAGCTACAATAGGCTACAAAACCCAGTTAGAGCTTTTATACCCAGGCATCTTGCACATGCATTCCTGGCCACCCCATCCATGGGCACATGATGCTGTCTTATTTTGCCTCCTGGATGTCTGGTGTTCGCTGCCAAGTGAACATGGAGATTCCTAGTAGCACCACAGTACAGTTCATGTACGTGGGGTGTACATGAAATAAATTTGAGAAGCCTAGTGCCATCTGCTTCCAGCTGCTGGCAT